GGGGATGGGAAAAATGGAGGTATATTAGAGTTTACCGATACTAACCACCAGTGTTGCAGAAAGCTACTTTTAAAAAAAGTAATGCATTAAAATATTGCTTTACTCCCTAAAAAAGTAACTAATTGCGTTACTTAGTAAATGTTTATGGAAAATAATGCATTACATTTACTTTTGCATTGCTTTTTCTCACCTGGGCTGGACTTGCTAACAAAAAATTGATTAATAACAATAACACTCTTATTTCAATAACAATAACGACACTTACTCCTGATTTCTCTCAACATGGGGACAGGAGAGCTGTCGGTCAATAAATGGGAAAACAAAGTAACTGGCATTACTTATTTGAAAAAGAAACTCTGATATTTTCTTGTAAATGAAAAAGTAATGCGATACTTTATTAATTAAGTAACGTATGAAAAAAGTAATCTGATTGCATAACTCGCATTACTTGTTATGTGTCTAACACTGACAACCACAATTAAAAAAAGTCTGCTCCTCATTCTTGAATAGGGTGGCCATTTATCTATTTTTAGGTCAGACAGTCCAGTTTTAAAATACCACGTCTGTATCATCGGTGTAGGCTGGATCCGCTCATTTGTCCTCTTTTTAAAAGGATACTCAACCCCAAAATGGAAATTTTGTCATTAATCATTTTACCCCCATGTCGTTCCAAACCCGTAAAAGCTTTGTTCGTCTTCACTGCACGGATGCGCTGTTTTCGTTCAAATCAAAGCATAAATACACATAGAAAACGTATCCTTGTGTCGCGGCTGAATGTGGCACTTTGCTTGCGTTCAGTGGTTATTCTCCAAAATGTCGTTATTTTTGTTTTCTTCGCATACAAAAAGTATTCTCGTCGCTTCATAACGTTACGGTTGAACCACTGATGGCAGATGGACTATTCTGACGATGTCTTTTATAATTTTCTGGACCTTGACAGTAATTTAATTTACTGTAATTTACTTGGCAGTCAATGGGACAGTCACAAGCCTCCCAGTTTTCATCCAAAATATCTTAAATTGTGTTCCGAAGCTTTTAGGGGTTTGGAACAACATGGGGGTAAGTGATTGACAAAATTTTCATTTTGAGGTGAAGTATCCCTTTAAGACCACTATTTTAAACTTTCTGCAATGATTTATATTATAAATGAATAAAACATGTTAATGTTATGTTCAAGTTCATATTAAGTGGTGTACACTTTAGACACACTATTGTCAGTATGGACTATATTTCACTAATAATTGCGATCAACACAGTGGCTTTTCGTTTCTGAACGATTCAGCGTTTTTGAACAAATCAGTGATTCAACAAGTCAATGATTCAGTAAGCCATTCATGAAGATAGTTGCTAAATTGAAAACTGCATACTAGTTTACCACTATTGCTATTGCTGGTGTATCTTTTTATGGCATAAATTGTAAGAGTAGTTTACTAGTATGCAGTTCCAAATCAGCAAGTCACTTGCATTTGATCAAATGAGTGAATCAGTTGACACACTTATGACTTGTCGTCACCTGTTGATGGATTTAGTTTCATATTTAATCTCTATTCAGTATAAATTATATTCAACACAATAACCTTCTAACATTATATATGAATTGCTACTGCAGTGTAAATGCATTCATGGCATCTCTGAGCTGCATTGAACAGTCTGTGTAAATACATCTTCGTGCCACTTCTGCAGTGCAAAGATAACATCGTCCCTTAATGGAAATGTTAATTTTTTTTGTCACTGGTTTAGGATTATTTTTCAGTTTTTATCCTGCAAAGTGTCCTCCTTTCTGGGGTTAAAGAGATTGCTACCATATTCTTGATGCAGACATTTGTATATCTATAGAACTTGTTCTGATTGTTTGAGTTTATGAATTTTTTTCAGTGAATGTGATACGTGAAGTCCAGAAGCCACAAACATCCATCAAAGAAGGTCTGTCGTGCTCCTCTCTACTGTCAGACATTAAACAGGCCATCGGTGCAGAAAAAACCCGTCAGATGTTTTTGGCCTTGCAGGCCTATAAAACGTCAAACAATTACGAACAGATGGTGTCAACTGTTGTGAGTTTATTGACTGAAAGAGATGAAGACATCGCTCTACTGGAACGTTAGTCTGTTTCTTTTAGATTCATAACCATTTCAATTTTGTATCAAAATGGTTATCTGTTGGGGAAGAGGCTGAGCTTGTTGTGTCTGGTCTAGGGTTATCTGCGCTCATTCAGCCACAGCACAGGAAGCAGTTTGGTGAGCTGTTAAAATCCTTGACTGGAAATGATTGTGTCGCAAACCAGAATTCAGACGTGGGATCAAGTCAACCAAATCAAGGTTTTCTTTGTAATAAGTGTCAATATTATATTCTGCTACGGGGGTAGTAGATAATTATGCTAATTATTCTTAATTAATCTTTCTTTCAGCATCTCCGTTTTCTGCAGGAAAGACTCAAAGCAAGATATCATCCTTCTTTTCATAAATGCTGCTAAGATATTGATCTTCATTTTTTTTTGCATATACCATGAATGAGGAGATTGATGCAGGAGAATGCTAAAAATAAATATTGCACAACTGGCATTTCATTTTGTTATATGTAATGAAATTTTTTCAATAAATACTTAATACATTAAATAAATACATTATTTTTAAATAAATAAATGAGTTTTATACTTAACTGTTAAATTGTTTTTTCAAGTTCTTTTTTTATTAATGTTAAAAAAAATTAAATGATAAATAGTATGTGAGTGATTTGGCATCTGATCATTTTATCTTCCCTGTACCGTTAAGTAGCACTATATTTTTTATAAATTTTCTTTATTATAAAAAGATGTTAGACCTGAATGCGTTTATATAAAAAAAAAAGCTCAAAATGTATTGAGCTGGGATGAATGATTCATGAACGTTTATTGCCAGGAAAATACAGCACAAGGTACAATGCTAAGATAATGTTAACATTAATAATATACAGTTGAAAATCTTTTTTTTACATATTTAGAAGTTTAAATTAATTGAATATACAATTTTATTTTATTTCCCCAAAACAATATAGGCTTCTAGTTATTACATTTGTTTTGGCAAATAATAAATAATACTAACAGTAAAAGATTTATAAAACTAATTCAACACTATTAGGACTGAATTAATATTAAATATAGGTTGACTCCAAAGCAAAGGACTCCCCCCCCATGTGGGAACTTTTAATGGAGCACAGAAACTAATGTATATGCATAGTGGCAATTCAATACAAAATACCGAATACAAAATTAAATTCATGCACTTATTTTTTTATTCGGTACCACATGCACAAGAGGTATTGCATAGTCACATTATTAATGACATTAGTTGCTAGACAAAAAAAAAACATTTCGGTGTGATTAAAACACCATAGCACTTTTTCCATTTTTGTTTATTTTAAAAGGTTTAAAATAATTAATTTAAGGTAACTTAAAATGGTAAGAAGTCTGGTTTGCAAAGAGGCCAGTTCTTTTTATGTAATTCATTCACTGAAATAGATTGAACATTACAATACATTTGAACAATTAAGTCCACATACACAAGAAAGAAGAGCAATCTTAATCTGTAAAACAGCATTTAAGAGAAGAGGGGGGAAATAATAAAACATATAAACAAGTAAACAATAGTTCAAATGATCTTCCTTCTTCCTGCAGTGGCGGAGCTATCCTCCATGAAATCTAACAGTATGTCATTCTTTTTATGAATTTCCATTAGAGACCATTTCTAATAAAAATTACATTTTGGTGTATGCATTTCGCAAATTTTAGTTTATGAATGTAATATTTACCTTGCTAAATGTAAAAATTAATGATGTAATCATTTTGCATTTGTGTGAGTAAGTGCAACAATCTCTTAACTGAAATAGTATTTTTTTTAATTTTTTTTTTTATTAGGATTAGCAAAAATTATAGGGGCCAGGGGTAATATAAATTACATTATATAAAGTAAAGGTGCCTCAAAAGGCACTTTTTAACAACCAGGCAAAAGGTCACAGAGCATTCAGTCAACTGTACATTACAGGAAAGAACCAATATTATAAGATGCACACAATGTTATCGATTTTAAGGCTTTAACATTGCTGGAGGTAGATATTGTTTCCAAGTAATACTTCAGATCTTTACAAAATATAAGAAATAGGGGCTTTACAGACAAAAATGTGCACTTATGTATAAACATTTTTTTAACTGAAATAGGATTTTTTTTTATTGCAAGTATAAACACTTAACAATTAACGTAACATTGGATGACATTATGAATACAGAAATTATATAGGAAGACAAAGAGAGAGAGAATAAAAATAATAATAAAAAATAAACAAGAATACACAGATAAAACAAAAAATACAGAGGTAGTACATCAAGAATTATGTACCATTCAGCAGATCATTATAGTTTCACAAATTTGACACTTTTTTTGGTATTAATATTTTTTAGTGTTATAATTAAGTAGTTAAAATCACAAAGAAAATTTACATTTATGAATATAATATACAGAAATTGTATTTTTTTTATTACAAAACTTGTAGAAACATACAGAAACAGGGAAGCGAGACATGAATATATTCCAACAAAAAGCAATTACAAAAATAAAAACAGAAAACAGATATTCTGTATTTGCATGTCAAATGAATTATTATCCATACATAAAAGTGCAAAAATAAACTTACAATTTTTTTTAGAAAAGTTGTCATAATACATCAAAAGTTTGGCACTCTTTTTCTTATTAGTAAGTCTAAGAGATGAAACAAGAGAGTCCAATTCAACAAGAAAAATAGGGAAAGACAAAGGCGATTTAAGCCATTTTTGCTTATGAATGAAGAATTTTGCATTCAATATAAGAAAATTAACAACATATTCAACAGATAATAGCTTTGGATTTTCATAGTAAAAGAGAACATCTTTGAGGACGAAGGTATGGGACACATTTGTAAGGTTAGAAACATAGCTGCTTAAGTCAACCCAGAATTTGTTGGTAACACCACAATCAAAAATCCAGAAACCGGATGTAGGAAGCAAGTGCTGTCCGATGACGACAGTGAGGTCAAAGTTGAGCTGCAGACGAAGACATTCTCGCTTCTGTCCGTGCACGAGCAAAACAATGCTACGAAGACCACCAACAGCAGATTTCAAATGTAAGTCCGTGATTTTTATGGTATGTTAGCTGGCTACAAAAGTTAAATCATGAATCTGAACTAAAATAAAGCAGTAAACTAGCTAGAGAGTGCTAACGTTTGGGCTCTCTGTAACGTTAGCTTGAAAGCTAACCGGCATCATTGCATAGTCTCCACCTCATCTCATATATATATATATCACAACAAGAACATTAAATAATGTTTTCTGGAGTATGTGAAGAGTGTACTGAAGCCCGCTCTGTGCCTGCTTTATTCTTGCAGCTTTATCTCAGTGAGCTCCTGTCATGTAAGTGTCTGATCCTCACTATGGATGAAAGCAGTCTGGAAGAAGCCATCAAGACCTACAGCGCTCAGCTTCAGCAGGTTGAGGTGGCGTTATCTGCTGGTTTGGGCTCAGAGGAGCAGGCTGACCTGCTGAAGCTAAAGGAGGACTTGCAGCAGCTCATTGAGCTCACAGAGTCCAGCCTGGTGTCTGTCAAAAAAAGCCAGTTGCTGGCTTCTTTGGAGGAGCCCTCGACAAACCAAAGTGCCACATCGGTTCCTCGAGAAGCGGCTTTAGACAATGAGTTTGCTACTTTCTACGCTGAACTGTCAGAGGACTCTGCTGAGGTGAAACAAAACTCTGAACCTGATGAGGAGGAGGAGGTGGATATAAGTGGAACTAAGGTATGTGCTCCTTACCGGACCTCATGGGGAACCCTAGAGTACCATAATGCCATGGTGGTCTGCCCTGAGGAGCACAAACTAAACTAACTTGCCTTTCATAAAAAGTTGTATGTTATTTGAAGAAATATTATAGACCTTGACACATGTTATGAGTCAAGGGGATCCTGTCTATGATGGCATATTTTGTTTTATGTTGTTTTCTGTATGTTGCTTGCGGCTGTTTGACTAATGTGTGTGTTTTCAGGTTCTCTCATGGTGAGGTGGTGTGTGTATCAGAGCTCAGGGAATTCCTGGAGGCTGACATCAGTAACATGGAGTCGGGCTCTGCGTGTTTGGCCAAGCATGAAGATGGCATCTGGTACCCGGCCAGAATATCAGGTACACTTTCAGAGTTCTTTCACCGCCATTAACAAAAGGGAAGAACAGCGATTGCTACATGATATCACTTGTTTGTTACCTTTCCCACAATTCACAAAAACAGAGAGAGAGATTCCTTGATCCCCAAGGGGAAATTGAATGGAAAATAGCGGACGTTATAAAAACACAACAGTATGTACACTTGATTAGGTAAAACAGAGCAAGACATTACAGGTGTGCATGAGAAGTTCTGCTTCTCTTTCTCCAGAGATTGAAGCTGGGTTGTACACAGTGAAATTTGACTCGCTGCTGCTGAAGGAGGCTATGCTGGAGGCTGATGGGATCATTCCTCCTCTTCGTCAGGATGACAGTTCCTCCTCTTCCTCATCGGACTCTGAGGATGATTCTGACCAGTGTGATACTGCTTATGCTAAAGGTGTAAAAGCATAATTACAACATGCTCTGGAATATTGTGTGCTGGAATGCACATTCAACACATTGTTGAAATCATGCTGACTTTGTATCTAATTACAGTATTCACATCAAGAGAGGAGGACATAGCCCAGGTAAACAGTGCAGAGTTTTGCGGTTGGGAGGCTCACACACGTGGCATTGGCTCCAAGCTCTTGCTCAAAATGGGTTATGAGCTTGGTAAAGGTAGGTGACTATATCAGCCATCAGTCTAAAAACCATCAGAACAAATGTAAAAGTATTATAAAAAAAGTATGATAGCGTTTGCTTTTCTATTATTAGTAACAGTAAGGCAAGTGCTATAATACTTTAGTAAAATTGTTAGCATTCAGCAAATTAACTTTTCATTTTTAACAAGTCTTTGAATATCTAATCTGAATATCTAACCTTGAAAATTTGTCAACTTCAGCTGTGAGATCCTCTAAAGTGTGCTGCATTTGTGGACTGTGTTTAACAGTCAGTCCGTGCAAATTGAACACTGACAGGAGAGTTGGGCTGTCGCTGAACATGCACAAGTGGCAAACTTTGAATAGTTGATTTCAAACTATGCTGCGCTATATATGTCATATTCTCTGTATGCTACAGCATATGTAAAATTAGCACTACCTTGTCTTTATTTGAAACAAATATGATTCCAGTGCTCAGAAACTCACCAGATTAACAAGTACACTGTTGGTTACAGTGTTTACTTAGATTTATTTATGTATTTATTTAGAAAACTACTATAATAGAATAACAGAATCAAGAAGTTGCCATCTATATAATACTCTTATTTTACAGATTTTTTTTTTTCAAGTTCAATTCTTTTTCATATTTATTAATTTTCGAAGTATATAAATATAAATTAAATTTAAGCGATTGTTGTGCATGTGTTTTTTTTTTACTATCTCTAAATAGTGTGAGATATATATTGGCTTTATATTAGCTATCGTCCCTCAAAATATCCATATCGTTCGACCTCTAATTTATTTCTTGTGCATACGTTTGTAACAACTGTTTCTGTGCATGCATAGGTTTATAAATATAAATTAAATTTAAGCGATTGTTGTGCATGTGTTTTTTTTTTACTATCTCTAAATAGTGTGAGATATATATTGGCTTTATATTAGCTATCGTCCCTCAAAATATCCATATCGTTCGACCTCCAATTTATTTCTTGTGCATACGTTTGTAACAACTGTTTCTGTGCATGCATAGGTTTGGGGAAAACCCTCTCTGGTCGTGTTGGTTACAGTGTTTACTTAGATTTATTTATGTATTTATTTAGAAAACTACTATAATAGAATAACAGAATCAAGAAGTTGCCATCTATATAATACTCTTATTTTACAGATTTTTTTTTTTCAAGTTCAATTCTTTTTCATATTTATTAATTTTCGAAGTATATAAATATAAATTAAATTTAAGCGATTGTTGTGCATGTGTTTTTTTTTTACTATCTCTAAATAGTGTGAGATATATATTGGCTTTATATTAGCTATCGTCCCTCAAAATATCCATATCGTTCGACCTCTAATTTATTTCTTGTGCATACGTTTGTAACAACTGTTTCTGTGCATGCATAGGTTTGGGGAAAACCCTCTCTGGTCGAGTAGAGCCAGTTCAGGCCATGGTTCTTCCGAAAGGCAGCTCATTGGACATATGTGCTGAGCTCACTCAGAGAAAGACTGCAGCCGCTATTGCTAAGGACAACCCGGCCTCTCGTAAACCGAAGGCTAAAAAGAGGAAAGCCTCCACATCAACACGCCACAATGTTTTTGATTTCCTGAACTCGAAGCTTGGTGGCACAGCTCAGCCTGCGTCTCATTCATCAAGCTCAACAGTCACAGGTGTAGAGGCCTACCGGGGCAGAAAGAGCACCAAACGTTCCCTGAATGTTCGTCTGTTCCAGGCTACGGAGAAAGTAGCTCAAGTGGAGAAAGAGATCCAGCAGCTCACTAAGTCTCTCAGTAGACGAAATGGAAGGTGTTCTTTCCTCACTTTCTTTGCACCCGGCCAGTTTTCTTTTCTTTGTTCCTTTCATCACCTTCTCATTCTTGATATAACCCTTATCAGTGTTGCAGAAGCTACTAAAGTAGTTCAGTAGATCTGCTCTTTTGAAAATCTGTTGCTGTTTGGGGACATCTGGACATACAAATTATTTTTCTCAATTCAGTTGAACAAATCATTTGTTTGAATGATTTAGTCTGAAAAAACTAATTGGACGAATCAGGCTTTTTGAAGTATCTTTTTAGAACTTAAACCATTTAAATGAACTCCGAACAAACTGATTGGATGAATACAAAAAGTACAGTTGGAGAGCACCTTTCATTATTACCGTTGCTCTGACATAAACCCTCTGCTTGTGCAATACAGTGGTACAAAAATTGCAATGAATTTTGTTGCATCAGCACTGTTTTGAAAACTGCTGTTAATTTGGCTACTGAGAACGTAAAGTTAGCTGCGTAGCTGATTTTAGTTTTTTATTCTCCAACACTCACCATTACATGTTTCTTTGTCTTTGCATTCTCTCTGTCCTCAGGGATGCGACAGTGGTCAGTAGAATCGAGGAGAAGCTCACTGCTTCCCGCAAGTTGCTGGAGCAGCTGAGGGCTCAGGAACAGTCCATCCAGAGAGAGCAGAAGAAAGCAGACACACACAAGAAAATGACTGAATTCTAATAAATCTACTGTCTTTTTTGCTGTTATTTGGGATTTAGTTTAATGTGTATAAACTTTAATACAGCTATTGGTTATATCAAAACTTTATAAACATATCAGTACGATAATGAATGTGTGAAATGCATTTTCATTTGTTTATAGCCCATCAGAATCTTGTTTTTTGACATAAAGAACTGTATCTGATATTCAGACTCGGATATATTTTTTTTTATTGAAGTGTTTCTTCTAAGGATTCAGTCCTTTTAGATACACCAGGACAGTGTGAGACATAGCCTGCAATACATTAATAAAACAATGTAGTTGGTGTATGCTATAACACACTGTATAGTATACATTTCCTGAGAAGTCAATTTTCTGGAAAATAGCTAGGTGTAAAACTGAAAGCTAGGGCAAAATAAAAGGACAGTTCATCATTGTTAAACTATTAATCTGTTGGTCAATAATGCTGCTTATCAGTGTTGGGGGTAACGCATTACAAGTAACGCGAGTTACGTAATCAGATTACTTTTTTCAAGTAACTAGTAAAGTAACGCATTACTTTTTAATTTACAAGAGAATATCTGAGTTACTTTTTTTTTCCAGTTTATTGACCTACAGCTCTCCTGTGCCCATGTTGAGAGAAATCAGATGTTACAGTAGTTCTAAAATAAATATGAATATGCATTAATTCATCTCACTCACAAAAAAAAACACAGATTCAGTATTCCTCAAAATGAATAAAAATAATGCAACTCAGAATATGACGCAAACCTGCAATAATTAAATGTTAAACAACACAAATATGCTTTATGTATTTAATCCCATTCTATTAACCAATGTCTTTGCTTCTGACCTTCGATGATCCAGTTCAGATGTACTAATAAGCACAAGTTACTCTAGACAAACATTTGTGTGTCTTAGATACTATTATAGTTTTTATTAATATTTGGAATTAGCTTTTATTTTTTTTATATTTTTTGCTGTTTTTTTTAAAAAAGTTTTACTAGTTTTGTTTTTGACACATTTAATAATTTTTGTGTAGTTACATTTTTTTAAATATTAGTTTTAGTTATTTTAGTGCATCGAGTTAGCTAAAATAATTGTAAATTTTTTTTTATTTTTATTTCAAATAACGATATATATTTTGAATGATTTAAATTTTAATTGCAGTTTTAGTTAATAACCCTGAGACCAGCAAAAATTTTAAAAAGTAACTTGCGTTACTTATTTGAAAAAGTAACTCAGATATTCTCTTGTAAATTAACAAGTAATGCGTTACTTTACTAGTTACTTGAAAAAAGTAATCTGATTACGTAACTCGCGTTACTTGTAATATATTACCCCCAACACTGGTCAAGTTAACCTAATTTGTGCTCAATATTTTGTCAAATACTACTTTTTGATTCATGCTGCCAGGGCATCATGAAACATTGGATGCTTTTTCGGAAGATGGGTTTGAAGTGGACTCCCAGTGCAGGCAGTGATATCTCAAACTGACTTTTTAACCATGTCATCACCCAAGAGAGAAACTGGAGGAAATGCCTCCACAGAACCCGCCGTCACCCGAAGCAAGAGAGGAAACAAGCTCTACTGCTCAGCAGATTGCAGTCTTGAACCTGCAGCTTCCCAGCCTCGACTGCTGTTTCGTGAATCTCATACTGCAACACCAGCATTTAAGTGTGAACCCTCACCTTTTCGCTCCCTCAGCCCTCCATTGTCTCCACCACAATATGATCTGTCTTTTGTTCAACTGCCTCAGTTAGTATCACAGGTGGGCACTGAACTGCCAGTCAGACAGACTGTGTGGAGAGAAGGGCCCCGTTTTGTGACACCTGTCAGAGCGATTCGGCACTCAAACATCAGGAAATTCAAGTAAGTTGAGTATTACCAACTTATTCCATTCATTCACTTTTTTTGTACTTTGCTTTGAAGATTGTAAATAGCTTGTCTGTGTTTTGAAGTGTTGAACATGAGAAGCCTGCAGTCCCAAGAGAAAAGACTAAAACCAAGAAAAACAGAAAACCTAAATACAAACCACTCACCGGAACTGAGGTAGCTGAGATGTTATCCAAGGAAAAACATCTGGGGGAACATGAATTTTACTATTTGAAGGCTTCTGAAGATGGACCTTACAGGTGCTAGTCATTTAAAAAACATTTTTTATTTATTTTATTGAAAATCCCAATGTTGTTTTCCCAATGAAAATGACTTGCAAATCTCAATAAAAATTCAGAATAAAAAGTACTATTTTCTCATTAACCCCAAATCTTGTATTCAATTTTAGTTTTCTTTCACTTAGCACAGATTTTGTATTTATTTTTTGTCACTGATTGATCGTAGGTTTCTTTGATCTGAGTTTATTCACCACCTGTTTTTGAGTGAAAAATAAATAAAATTATTTGTGAATAATTTTGGTAATGTTCATTCAAAAACTGAAGTACATAAGCTCATGAGGCCTATTATTAATCAGTACCAAAAAGAAATACAAAACCCATTCTAACTGAAAGAAAACAAGCTGACAAAAATATTAAATCCATTATTTAGTATATAATAGTTTATAATAGTAATAAAGTTTAACAAGAAATTGGTATTTTGGTCAGGTAATATTTAGGTCCAACGCAATAACATTGAAGGGAAATTTCACCCAAAAATAAAAATTGTCATCATTTACACTCCCTCAAGTTGTTCCAAACCTGTATGAATTTCTTTCTTCTGTTGAACACAAAATAAAATATTTTGAAGAATGTGGGTAACCCGACCGTTTCTGGTCCCCATTGACTTCAATATTATGGTTTTGCTACCAGCAGCTGTTTGGTTACCAACATTCTTCAAAATATTTTATTTTGTGTTCAACAAAAGAAAGAAAACTCATACAGGTTTATTAACAAGTTGAAGGCGAGTAATTGAATTTCATATTTGGGTGAACTATGCCTTTAACTAGCATTTTCGGGAATCTCTCTGGATCAAAATGATCAGAACAAAAACGTGATGGTTAAATGTATTTCTTTTAAATGAATTTGTTTGTTTGCAGTACAGTATTTTAGTTTGATATAAATTTTGAGTAAGTCTATGTTGATTAAGTCTAATTTCTCTTTTATCAGACCATATGACTTGCGAGTGGTCTCACGCAGTGAAGCGGGCACAGATTACTACACCAACACTCTCACAACCATAATGCATGTGCAGAACGACTGTCGCATTGAGCTCTGGAGCCTGGAAGAGTGGGCACGAGAGTCTGCGCTTTGGGGAGCTGTAAGAAACATCCCATTTTTCAGAGACTTTTTACTGCGCAAGACCTTCAAAAGGTGACTTACCTTTAGTCTTAATGTTGTGTTAACTTTGGAATGTATGACTACATAGTTGTTAATACAAGCAGTTTTCTAACTGTAACCTTGACAACTTTTTCAGGTGGCACAGGAATGCACACAAGGCTACTGTCAAACACAGGATCGACTTCCTTCCTTCTCAGCTGCTGATAGCAGTGCCCCAATTCAGGGGTGCCTTATTACATCTCGCCAGGTTTTTGTCTAAAAAGCCTACTCTATCATATTTTATTTGATATGCAAACTTTCTGTTAGGGAGTGAAAGGTCTTCAAAAAAACGTCCACCTTCAGGCCTTGATACATGTGTCTTTTTGCTGGGAAATATTAAAAAAAAAATTTATAAAGTAAACATAAGAATAATATTTTAAATAATAATGAAATAATAAATTATATATATATATATATATATATATATATATATATATTAAGAAAATCATGTTGATGTGTGAGTGTCAAATATGATACATCAATACATCATTTAAATAATAATGAAATAATAAATTATATATATATATATATATATATATATATATATATATATATATTAGGAAAATCATGTTGAAATGTGAGTGTCAAATATGATACATCAGGCTTTTAAGGAACGTATATTTGTTCATCTCTCAGTCATCATTGTATTGCATTGCAATATATGTTTTGAAACTACAGAACTTTGATCATAAAAAATAAACATTTCAATATCATCTTACTAAAACATATTTTTGGGAGATATAGAGTGACAACTGATATTTATATGCATTTTATGTAAATAAAATCTCTTATGCTGTTATAAAGATGTCATTGACTTACATTACAAGCTATCAGAATTATTATTTTTTTTATCAAAATCTTACTGTTTGGCCATATAAATATCAGCAAACTCAACAAATTGCATTTTGCTTAGTTTGGGCCTCTGAATAAAACAGTTTTTTTTTTCCTCCTTGAGGATGAACTTTAGTTTCTCACTATATAGTATATAAATATATTATATTAATATATATATATATATATATTATTTAAAGGTTCAGTAAAACTTACTATTGTTTCATATGTAAGGCTTTACATGGTTAAATTAAATTAAAGATATGTGTTGCTATAAATATTAGCATTTTGCTCATCTCAAAAGCTTCTTTTATTTTTTTTAGATTAACTGAGGAGCTAAAGCAAGTCAGTTGGCTGCCACATGATGATATAAGGACTTATACACTGTTAGATTTCCAAACTGCACTCCTGGAAAAGAATCAGGCAGCTCAAGCTTCTTTAGATAGTTTCCTACATTGTTGCGCTGCGACATTTAGTAAGGTAATGTTTTACCGCTTTCAGTTCACTCAAAATTCTAAATTCTGTGATCATTTACTCCCTCGTGTCATTCAAAAACAGTACTTTCTTTCATGGAATGCAAATACAGTTATTTAGCATAATGTTCAAGCTGCTCTTTTCCATTTTGAAACTGAATAGTTACCACGGCTGTCAAGCATGTTCAGTAAATAATAACTTACATTCCTCACACAAAATCGCACAGACTTTAGAAGACTTAGAATATATCACATAGACTACTGCTTTTTTGTCCTTGGAATGCATCCCTGGTCCCCATCCACTTTCATTGTATGGGAGAGAGAAGCTTGAACATTCTTCAAAGCTGCTTCATTTATGTTCCACAGAAGAAAGTCAAACAGGTTCAGAATGACAGAGGTGAATACAGTAAATGATGAGAGAACACTCATTTCTGGGTGAAGTATCTCTTTAATGTGAATATATATATATATATACACTGCTCTTAGTAACATCATTTAATTGCAGGTAAGGAATGAGACTTACCAAGCACATCAGGAGCTCCAAATGAAAGTGGAAAACTCA